TTTGTTTTAGCGCGAATATTGAAATTAAGTGTATCGTAAAGTTATATTCGGAAAGTATAAACCAGTTTTATTAAGTAAAGACTTGTGTCGTCAAAGTTTCGTCGGAAACGAAGTTACGGAAAAATCAATTAACAAACGGAGACGTAACAATGTATTTAACTGTAGGTATTTCGGATGGATTTATTTACCAAGCTATCTAACGATCTGTAACTACTATAAACTATCAATTTTCTAAAAGCTCAGACTTTTCACATTGTAAACAAAAACTTCGTTAACAAATGTAAAACTGAGAAAATGAAAAAATCTAATTAAAATAGCATAAAAAGTCTTACAATTGCCATTTAATAAAATTAATAATAATTTTAGCGTTGTAAGTCCGCAGACATACTGCTGTGCAATTGGGGGGTGAATGATATTGTTACGTCTCTGTTTATTAATTAATTTTCCGTAACTTAGTTCCGACGAAACTTTAGTGACACAAGTCCTTTCTTAAATAAAACTGGTTTATTCTTTCTGAATATAACTTTACCGATACACTCAACTTCAACAGTTGCGCTATAACAAACTATAATTCACGTATCACGAGCTAGACTTCAACAATACGTCTCTCTCTCTCTGACTGCAGTTCAATTACTCATTACCTACACACACATTGTTGTCCCGTCACGTTGTCACCCTCTTATATATACCAGACCACCCCCCAATCTAGTAAATGCTAGAGCATTCCCGAAGGAACGGGATAGTTCTAGAAACGTGGCGTGACACTAGTCACGTGACCTCGCTGACGCAACAATATCATATTGAACCATTAAATTTATGATATTTTTCTTTTCCAAAATAATGAAATGATCTTTAGAATAAAGCACGTCGTAATATGAAAGCAAAGTCTTAAAAATAACTTAAAAAACAGTAACATGTTATTATGTCTTTCCGAGAAAAAATAAGAAACTTACAGTATAAAACTCAAGCAGTATAAGTGTACCTAAAGAGATATACATTACACGACGTCCTAGCAAGAATAATTTAGAGTCGCCTTTACTTCCATCAAGGACTGCTGTGTATGGAAGTTCTTAGAATGACAAAATCTTATGCATTTAGCTCCAACCATTTCGCTCGTGCAGTGTCACACCCAAGTTTTTTATCCTAAGCAGTGTAGACCGAAGGATAATTAGGGTTGTTTTTCATTGTTATGTGTTAAACAATTCCTTTCTACTCTATTTTCTTGAATTTTAAATATGGCAGCTTAGTAACTTTTTCCTTCTGTTTCTTATATAACAAGATTTTCTTTTGAAAGACCGACACTCGCACGAACTCATCTACTGGTACTGTTAGTTGTGGCGAGCTTAACTTTCTTTTTTGGCCTACTCAGTACGTTTTTTGTTTCTGCCAGATACTTTTAGATTCTATCCAAATTTTTGTTTGTCTGTAGTTAAGCATACAGTTGCACAATGGGCTATCTGTGCTCTGCCCACTGCGGGTATCGAAACCCGGTTTCCAGCGTTGTAAGTCCGCAGACATACTGCTGGGTCACTGAGGGCTACCCAAAGTTTGACAGAGTCATTGATTTTAGTTCATGAAGTAACAGAGGAAGGTATTGTGGGATAACTTTCAAAAAGTGACCACTCTTTATCTAAAATTATATATATATAGACTATTGGATTAATAGAAGTGTTTTGAAAGTTCTTGTTTCTTATACTCTAATTTTATGAAATAGAAAATAGCTATTGATTTTGGTTAGGTTGCTGTCGTGTTATTATGGTAAACATACAAGTTAAGTACATAACGTCATATTGACTTATATCAAAGTGCTAAATATACTAACATTTTACAGAAAATTTTGTTTTACTTTACTGAACAGGGGGCCAGTGGCATTCTCTGTGTCATCACAGAAGAGCTATCGAATATTTCATAGCGTCCATGGAGCCAGGCTGTTCGTTTACTTCCGTTGCTTGTGACAACTACGAGGAGTTTGTTCGTGGAGATTGCTTCTTGTGCTCTGACAACACGTCGTGTGGTAACATGGGATATTTTACTGATGAATCACTACCACAAATAAAGATGTATCTACTGACTCGTGCTGATCAACCCTATTGTGGTATGTATAGGTAGCTACAGAATAAACCTAAAGAAAGTAACTATTATAATTCTTTATAACCATGCTTTAATGACTAATTTGTAATTAAAGTAATTATAATAAAATACTAATAATTTAAGTGTTAATGAAATGAATGGAGAAAAGTTCAAACAGAGTCTATCCCACAGGTATTCAATATAAGGTGATGATAAAACACACCGAAGACCAAGGGATAACCTGGGGTGGTTTGGAGATTACTTTGATGGATGATCAGGAATTGAGTGAAACCTTTGATGTCACAGAGTAAGTATATGCAGACCGAAGTAAAGGAATTGATACTTTTCTTTGCTACAAGTGCCCTTAATATGATGTTAGTGTGCGTATTATGTCATTAGATCAAAGTAAAGAGTACCTTTATCTTGATGTCACAGAATAGGTATCTAATGCCAGTACGGTGTAGCGAGAACATCGACCTTCTTACTTACTTACTACAGATATCCCTATTTCAGTGTAACGGAATCGATATATGTGTATATATATAATACCTTTAAACATTCCTTTAATTAAAACTGCTATTATGTTGTTCCTTAACTAAACATGTATCTACTGGCAAGTTTTCTTATGATACTTCTAAAAGTGAGAGCAGGAATGAGAGTATGTTAATAATAACAGTTTCTGTAATAGGTTTCAATAAACATGCGTCCTTAAAACAGCCAGTTTGACCTTATAAACTGTTATTACACTAACAGCCAGTTAATACACCTTCTTTTGTAGTCTCTACTAATATACAGTTAATAGCCCTTCTTTTGTAGTCTCTACTTATATACAGTTAATCTCCTTCTTTTGTAGTCTATACTTATATACAGTTAATCTCCTTCTTTTGTAGTCTCTACTAATATACAGTTAATCCCCTTCTTTTGTAGTCTCTACTAATATAAAGTTAATCCCCTTCTTTTGTAGTCTCTACTAATATACGGTTAATATCCTTCTTTTGTAGTCTCTACTTATATACAGTTAATAGCCCTTCTTTTGTATTATCTACTAACAGCCAGTTAAACTCCCTTCTTTTGTAGTCTCTACTAATATACAGTTAATCTCCTTCTTTTGTAGTCTGTACTAATAGACAGTTAATATCCTTCCTCTTGTAGTCTGTACTAATAGACAGTTAATCTCCTTCCTGTTGTAGTCTGTACTAATAGACAGTTAATATCCTTCCTCTTGTAGTCTGTACTAATAGACAGTTAATCTCCTTCCTGTTGTAGTCTGGATTAACAGCCAGTTAATATCCTTCCTGTTGTATTCTGTACTAATATACAGTTAATCTCCTTCCTGTTGTAGTCTGTACTAATAGACAGTTAATATCCTTCCTCTTGTAGTCTGTACTAATAGACAGTTAATCTCCTTCCTGTTGTAGTCTGTACTAATAGACAGTTAATATCCTTCCTCTTGTATTCTGTACTAATAGACAGTTAATCTCCTTCCTGTTGTAGTCTGTACTAATAGACAGTTAATATCCTTCCTTTTGTAGTCTGGATTAACAGCCAGTTAATATCCTTCCTGTTGTAGTCTGGATTAACAGCCAGTTAATATTCCTCCTGTTGTGGTATGGAATGGTTAGTCAAGAGTATAATCCATCTTAACGGTTAGAAGATACATATCAGACTACAGTGTATAAAACAATGTAGGAATTTTCTCTTACGCTTAACTAAATTATGTAAAACAATTAAAGAATCCAGTTATCTCGTTCTCCATCATATGCTCTGTAATTAAAATAGTGGTAACGATCCATTTTTTAACACCAGAGGAGATCCGAGATGATCTAGGAATCCAGAAAGTTGTAGTTACGTATCATTTCTTGTTTATTACTGACGTTACTTTCTTCATTTCCAGACGTTATGAGGAAATTCAAGATGGCGTAGAAACCCAGAGTATCGTAGTTGCACATCCCCTGCTTTCTAACATAACTAAAGTAATTATAACGTATCACAAGTACGTTGGATGGATCTACAGTGGACTGGATGAATGGAAAATAAATAAAGTTTCTGTCAGTGGTCCGTTCGGAAACATGTAAGTTTTCTTAAGTATATTTATCAGTGATCCGTTCGGAAACATGTAAGTTTTCTTAAGTATATTTTATCAGTGATCCGTTCGGAAACATGCAAGTTTTCTTCAGTATATTTTATCAGTGATCCGTTCGGAAACATGTAAGTTTTCTTAAGTATATTTTATCAGTGATCCGTTCGGAAACATGCAAGTTTTCTTCACTATATTTTATCAGTGATCCGTTCGGAAACATGCAAGTTTTCTTCACTATATTTTATCAGTGATCCGTTCGGAAACATGCAAGTTTTCTTCAGTGTGTTCTATTAGTGATCCGTTTACAGAAAAGTATATTTTAATATATTCATATAGCTTTACATGTTTATTTTATCAGTGATCCGTTTGGAGGCAGATATGTTTTCCTGTTTATATTCTGTTGGTGATCTAATGTACAAAATAATATCACTCTTAAAAACGCAACAGCGAAGTAAAAACTCCGCTAGATAAAACAAATTTGTTTCTGTGTTTTTACAGTAATTTTATTTGTAGCCTAAATTCTGGACATAATTAAAACTTAATGTTTATATTCACCACCGTTTTATGACACTTGTAAGTATTGTACGTATTGAAGTTTGATATATAAAACTGTTTAAGAACCATTTTGTGTTTTTCGTGAAATAAGTTATAGGATTTTTACTGACCATACGCTCTAATTTGATTGCATTAAAATTTAAAGAAATTTTAATACGTATTTTAATGCAGTGTCAGTTAAATCTTATTAGGGAATGTGGTGTAAATCAATGCTTCATGAAGACTCATTAGGCCTAATTTTCATTCCACTTTTAAGCCTAATGAACTTGCTAAGACAGTTTAGACCCCTCTGTTACCAGTGTTGAGTCTTCTATTACATACAACTGTTAAAGTTTTGGATGCTGTAAGTCCGGCTCAACTGATGAGTTCAGGTACTAAATATCTGATATAGGCCAGTTTCTGGACGAAAAAAATCGCTATAACAACATTCAGTAGCTTGTGTGTTTTACTGTGCTATGTCACCTTTCGAGTTTTATATTTTGTGGCCATAATATTCCATGGTATTTCGTGCGAAACAATTTCTTAATATTCATGAAATTATTATCTAAAGTTTTGGAGAACATCAGAAATGTTTCCCTCTATTGAGGAATAACATTGATACAGTTGATCTTTATCATACTCATACAGATACAGATCTTTTTAATCTATTCCAGACATAGATTAGGGTTATCGGGGGATTAAACGTTTTTATATATACAGCTAATCTATCAAGAATTGGCTAGATGGGGATTAAAGTCCAGTTAAATATTACAAATTCAAGTGTAAGTAATGCCCAAACACTGATACGAACACATTTACAGCCTCTCAGG